GGGGGGGGGAGGGGGAATATGGAAAGGGAAGGGGTAGTGGGATGGGAAGAATTGATGTGTTGTTGTATGCGAGAATTAAATCATTTTTTCCAATGAATAATATGATTGCGAATCGACGCCAGTTTCTTTTTTTATTTTCTTTGGATTGATTTTGATTTTTTTGAGTGCGTTGAAAATTTCAGGTTTTTTTGCGGGTTATTCCTATTTTTGCGTCTGATATATATGTGTATATATATATACAAATGAGTTGAAGGGATTTTTTCTTCTGCATTATTTTTGTATTTCTTTATTCCATATTTTTTTGGTTGTCTGCTAGCAACCAGAACAGCGACTTGCTGGATTTGACAGATTTTAAATTCGGTGATTATGTCTTCAGTTTATGACGAAAAACCTCCACCGCCACCACTCAGGTAAACTGTTTTACTATTTTTTTCAATTTTTAGATTACGCTTATTGTGATTTCCGGGCATCAAAGCTGCTTTGTTTTGCCAGAGTATTGGTTCGTTTATAGTTCTTTCCGAACTTTATGTTGCTGCAAATTTTGACTGCAAATTTACGTATTCGGGTGGTTTTTTTGGTTTTGGTACCAGTCTTTATTCAAAATAAATGTTTTTGCCAAAGTAAAATTAATAGGGCTTGTTGATAGTCTTACTTCATACTTTTGAGCTTGAAAAGCTTGTTAATTTTGCCCAACGAACTTTCTTTAAAATTCCATCAGGTCCATCTTTTTATTCACGAGGCTTTTTACGCTTAATCCCTTTGTCGTTTTCAATTTAATGATTTATTTTTTTTTTTATTTTTATTTTTTTTGGATCATTGGTGTCAAATGTAACATCATAACGGTGCAGCACAAAAGACAAGTTTTTTCCCGTCCCCTCTACCTAATTGTTTTCTAAATACCTGATATTTAAAGAATTAGGGTGAAAAAAGAAACCTAATCTATTGTTGGTGTTCCAGCTCAAATTAAAGCTAGCGACTTACTCGCCATTTTTAGACGAGTTGTGACTGTAATTTGCCCCAACAATTCTTCCATTACAAAGTTGATTAATAGCTATCAAGTATTTGGTCAATGAGATACTCTTCTAATATTTGTAGTGGTACACTATTTAATTCAAATCTGATTCGAAAATTTTGTTCTTTTAATTAGCAATTTTACTTAAAATTTTATTCTTTGCAGGTACAGCAGTAGTGCTTCATCGGGCGCTCGAGAACAGTCATTTCTAGACTTAAAGCCTTTACCCAAAGAGCCTGCGGAGAATCCGCAATACGAATCAGTTCCTTCCGGTAGAAAAAAAGGGAAAAAAAGTAAAACGTTTGGAGGAAAAAGTACGCTTCCACATATTTTTCTCCATCTCGGTATTTTTTTTTTGCAAAGCGCAATAAAGTATTTCTTACTTTACGAGGATTCTTTTTACCACCAATGAATCGCCAAAGCCGTACTGTTGTTGACAGTTCTGGAACTGTGATGAATTTTTATCTTTATATTCAAAAAAAAGAAAAAAAAAAAAGAAAAAAAGATAGAACATATTAATATTATTTTTTTATATTTTAGATTAAGATTTAATTATGCTGCTTTTCTGCAAATGCTAGACCACGTAAAATGAGTTCTTATGAAATTGTTTGTGATTTTATAGTTGAGCCATTGTATAAACAGGTGTTTCGATGCTCTTTGCTGCAAGAATCTTTCAAATTTTGTTGCAGTTAAAATTTTGACTGAGAAACTTCTTTGAAATTCCTTCCTGTTACATTTCAGTGAGCCATATTAGTACATCTTGATGCTTTGTTCTTGTCTTAGCGTGGACTGGTATAAGATGGTTCTGTTTAGAAAGCAAAGAGAAAGATCGTTACAATGACAAACCGGTGATATCTCTCCCGAGTAACTTCGAACACACAGTACATGTTGGCTACGATCCAGCCACAGGGGAATTCACGGTGTGTAGTTTTTTTCAGAAATACCATTTTAGCGAAATTGAAGTCATCTCTTATATAACTTGCAGGTCTACTATTTTGCTGGATCGAGCTTAAATTGTTTTTTAATTTTAAAAATGTTTTGGAACTTTTATAGTCAAAAAAAAGTATGTAAACATAATTTAATTTTACAGCAGGGATTCGCAGGTTTTTTTCCTTTTAATGATGAACAATATTTGGAGCCAGAGTTCAAGTGCTAATTGTTTACGTTTTTAATTGTTTTACTTTAGGGTATGCCCCCGTCGTGGGCTAAGTTACTTCAATCTTCTCAAATCAGCAAACAAGAACAACAGAAGAACCCGCAAGCTGTTTTAGACGCTTTGAAATATTATACACAGAATGATCAGGAACCGCACCAAAAGTGGTTACAACCAGCACCTCTCGAAGGTAAACTGTTCTCTAGGTCAGCTATTAATTAAATGCTTTACCAACTCTTAAAGGGTCGTCTTCACGAGGCTTACATTATGTCGGGAATGCCCCCACGTCTTCCAGTTTGTCTTATACCTCTTCGGCGGTAACTAATCATACCAATCATCATTATCAAAACCATATCCCTCCGCATGTTCAGCAATCCCAAGAGCCTTATCAGAAATCCTCCTCCGCAAAACAGTTTCCTTCCCAAAGTAATCAACTCTCGTCATTAAGTGTCGTTATTTTGAAGCTGAATGTGAATGACTAGTCAATTACTTGCGTTATCTAAAATAGTTATAAGAAGTTTACAGGTATTCCGTCTGCGTACCACGGCAGTATACCGAAGCCACCACCTCTTATTCCTGGCCTTCTTGGTTCATCGCAGAGGTCATCTGGTAGTGTAAGCACGTCTTCTCATTCTTCAGCGACCGCTGACCAACTTTCAACTTTACCATCGGTCAAACCTTGTTATAATTTTTTCATTACTCCAGGCATCCTTGAGTGCTTACTCATTTAAAACGTTAGATTTTCTGAACTATTTTCCCTAAATTTGTTGTAGGAAAATTCATTTTTATAGAAATAGAGATAGGTTACGTGTAGTTAAATAGGAAATTTAACGTGCTAGTGTTATCGAAATAGAAGTCGGAAGAAAGCCTCATTTCCTGTGAAGTAGTTTCGGGGTGATGTCACTAGAGACCTCTTCATTGTTTCCAATAGTAGCTTATGGAGTTTCAAAGTCTAGTATTTGCCTATCAAGAAGATTTTTTTGGTTCTAATTTCGTAACAGTTTATATTTACCTTTAATTTTTACTCGTCATTCTCAGAGGTTTGGAAGAAAATTATGCATTTCTTAAGAAATCGTTTGATTATGAATATTTGTTAATTT